ATATGCCCACCACCTCCCCACCCATCATTATCGAGGGCCATGTATGTGCTGCCCTTTGGGTATAAAGCAAGAATAGGATGCAGCATTGACCTCAAATAACTAAGGTAAGACTAGAACATGAGGGAACCTTATAACTCAGAATTTCAACTGTCTGTGGAGTCTTCATTGTCCCAGACTGTTCCTATTATTCTTCCCTCAGCCCATTCTCCAGTAAACTGCCCTCCCCCTGATTTCCTCCCTCCCAATAAAATACTTTACTTTTGCGTAAAAGCTGAGCTAATATTTTGAGCACTTGCTCTGTGCTTTACAAGCATTATTTCAATCTATCCATAAATTAGGCTACTTATCATCTCATGTTTAGGGATGAGACATGATGATCTTAAATAGCTACCCAAGTTCACATAGCCCAAGAGTTACTGACAGAGGCAGGACTCAAATCCATGTCTCTGTGACCCCCTCCCCAAACTCAAATGTTAACCTCAATATTGTCAAGGATGGTGTCTCCCTTTTGCAGTTGTCTGAACCTTAGTAGAACCTTGTGGATGACTGAGAATGACAAGCCAAACACTCTACAGGAAACACAGACCTTTAGAAAGATATTCTTGTAAAACTAACCTACCTCATATCTTTGATTCTATTATAAGATGCACTCTTAAAAACAATTGTTATTTTGGGGCAGTAGTTAATACTACATTGGAAATGAATGTAGGTTGCAGGACTTACCGTATTTAGGAAAAATAGAACTGGAAAAACAATTTACCTTATGATAGAGGAAATGCAGCATGCTAGGGATAACAATATTTCAGTAACCCTTTCTCCTATGGGGGGTGTGTGTGTGTGTGTGTGTGTGTGTGTGTGTGTGTGTGTCCTCTACATCTATGGGAGGTGCCAGAGGCAGTGAGTGGTTCAAGATAAGCCCTGATAAGTAGTATACTGATGACAGGGTATAGAATACTCCATTTTTTTTCTTGACATCTAGGGATACATTTAAAAATGTTAGTTAAATATATCAAACTTTTAGCCAAAATAGCTCAAGATCTATTTCTATTTCATTCATCCTAAATCCTTCTAAAAATTACCAAATGACTCTATTCTTTACAGAATTGCACACCTTTTCCCCCTTACTGGTCTCTCTTTTATGAAACAGCAGCAAAGATATTCTTCTTCCTTTTCATGTTCTTCAGACAGCATTGGTGTCTCTAAGTTTTTCTATCAGGGGTGTCATGGATACCAAAGTATCATATAATTTTAATGTATTTATTTATTTATTGAATTAATACATGCACATGGTTAAAATTTCAAAAAATACAAAACAGAGGGCCAACAGTAAGGTACCCTCCCCAGAAGCAACTGGCCAATGAGTTTGCTGTATATATTAATATAAATATTCACTTATTCAAGTGTACATGTATCTGATTGGTCCTTTTATTACAGATAGTAGCAGACAGCTCAACTCTTCCTGTACCTTGCTTCTTATTTTATCAACAGTGTATTCTTATCAATATATTAAAACATTTAGTTTCTATCAGTACATATAAATTTACCTCGTTACTATTTTCCATTTTATTATGAGAATCTTCAAACATCTATAGAAATTGAAAGTATTATAATGAACGTCCGTGTGCCCACCACCTAGATTCTACCACCTAGATAAAGCTATCCATCTACCCATGTAAATTTTTGTATACATTTAAAAGTTATGTATACATGCTCACTTCTAAACACTTCAGCATGTGTATAATTAACTAGGGTTCAATAATTATTTGTGGCTTTTTTTTATATAAAATTTGATTACAGTAAAATACACAACTCTTAAGCACCATTAAGTAAGTTTTGACAAATGCATATACCTGTGAAATCTACCAAGCTTCCTAATACTCTTTTTTTGAAGTTCTCATCTTTTAATATGTTTATTTTTTAATTAAATTTATTGGGGTGACATTGGTTCACAAAACCATACAGGTTTCAAGTGGACAACTCAATAAAACATCATCTGCACACTGCATTGTGCGCCCGTTGCCCCCGGCAAAGTCTCTCTCCTGTATCCCCAAAGGGCTCATTACTACTGACAGGATAGATGTTTCATTCTTTAAAATGCAGATACTTGTCCAGATGACCGTGTGTACAGATATAAGCTAATTTTTACCACCTCTGCATCATAATTTATTCCTTCCCTGTTCAGAATTTTCCAGTAAAACGTAAGCAACCTCTTAGAGAACCTGAAGAAAGGTTGATTTTTACCAGAGCTTTTCCGTTTTTAGATTGAATGGACAGAATT